AGGAAAATATGTTTTGTTGAGACATGGGTTACCTCTTAGCCTTAATTAATCCTCCCTTGGCTATTAATGTTCTTCTCTAAGATTTCCATCCGATTGATCTCCCTTGGCTTGGTGGTGGGGAATCTCCCAGGAATATTTTCGTGTAATATAACTATGGGTGGTAAGGGTCCTAATTACTTTCTAATCCCTTATTTATAGAATCAGGAATCCCAATCATAATCTGAATAATAAAGGCCTACTTTCTTTATTCCTAATAGATATATAGGTCTAGGATTCTTAATTAGAATCTGACTAGTAAAAGGTTTACTCTCTTTATTCCTAATAGGCTTAAGACTCTAGTTTAGGCAAGGGTCCACAATCCATGGTGGACCACATTAATTAATTAAAGGGAATCCTAACTAAATTAAATCCTTTTTAATTATTATTAATGGAATTAATTAAATAATTAATCTGGGATTGAAGGCCGTAACACGGGGTGTTACACCAGCGACAGCTCCGATGACCAACGCAATCTTCGACCCAAATGATGCGGCAAGCCCCTATTTCTTGCATCCTAACGAGAACCCTGCGCTAATCCTCGTCTCCACAGCTCTAAATGGGCGAAACTACCACCCTTGGGCCAGAGCAATGGAGTCATGGAGATGGCGCTCCTTTCTATAAACAAATTATTGTTCGTGGATGGGACTGTGGCAGTGTCGGATGTTGGTGATGTTAGATTTCCCTACTGGAAAAGATGCAACAACATGGTTGCGACTTGGTTGATGCATTCGTTATCACCTGAGATTGCTCAGACTGTCCTCTGGGTAGGGTCAGCATAAAAGATCTGGTTGATGTGTCTCATTTCGTGTTAGTTTGGCTAGGTTGGAAAATGAATGGTCAAAGGAAAATGAAGAGAAGTCAATGGAAAATAAGCCCAAATTTCTGAAAAATGACTTCATTTTTTTGGGGGGAAGTCATTTTCCATCTTCTCCACACGCTTGCCTCCTTCTTCAAAGCAGAGACAACTCCACCAACAATGTTTCCGGCGAAAAATAGACCACAAAAAATCGGGAATGAGATGAAGGGTAACCAAAGAGAAATTCTCTATTTTTTTTAATTTTTTTTTAATGAGGCAACCCCGTATAACACATGTTTTGAAATACATCATGTACTCTTTTACTTGACTAAGTTTTTTCCACAGAGTTTTCTAGTAAGGTTTTTAACGAGACATATATGAGTATAGTAAGATAATGGCTAAGGGGGATTGTTGTAAAAATATAATTTTCTGGTGGCCATTATCAAAATTTTCTAGGATCATGGGTAGTGTTCGGTTTTACGATGCTGTATCTGTATTCTGGCAATGAATGAATGAGAATGATTTTTATGGGTTATGCTCTTCTTTTTTTTTTTTTTTTTTTTTTTTGAAAACAAAGATTTGGAATTTGAGTCAGTACAATAAAATTCACTCATAAAGCGAGGAATACAATCCATAAAAACATGTCTTTCATCTTCTGCATAACTTAGAGCTCTTTTAGCTAGAGAATGGGCCATCACGTTCTTTGTTCGACACACATAGCGAAACTCCACTGCCGGCATTTGACGCAGAAGCTCACGAATGTCCTGGATAATGGAACCGAACGGTGAGAAATTTTGGCCTCCCAAGACTGCTTGCGTCACAACTTGGGCATCCGTAACAAGCGTAACCCTGTTCCATCCCATATCTTTAATCCAACTTAAAGCCTCCCTTGCTCCCATTGCCTCAGCCTCTTTGACCATGAAAAGACCTGTCTTTACAAACATTACCAACCCCTGCACCTTACCCTCCCAATCCAAAACGCTCCATCCAAACCCCATTCGGCGGTTTCTACTGTCCATGGCCACATCGATACTCACTCGTACAGCTCCAGGAAGGGGAAGATCAAATTGCGGCGCTTGAGGGAGTTGCATATGGTGATGTACTGCCATGTTTCCCAGATTTCCAGCCTCCCTCCAATTCTGTGCAAACGTTAAAGCAGTATACACTATAGTCCTCGGATCCGACCATTTCTGGTGCCAAACCACACCATTGCGTGCTTCCCAAATCGCCCAAGCTACCATCACCACCTGCTCAAGCATTTTAACTGGTAAAACAGTCCACATTTCTTCTAGCCAGACCGAAAGAGAATAAACATAACACATAGTCCAGGCATCATTTAAATTAAGCCAGCAGCTGTGGGCAAATTCACAGTTTCCAAATAGGTGAACACTGCTCTCATTCGCCTTTCCGCACAGCACACAAATAGGATCACATTGAACTCGTTTGGTCAATAAAATATCTTTTGTAGGAAGCCGCAAAGTACACAATCTCCAAAAAAAACATTTTACTTTTGGTGGGATCCTTAACCGCCACAAACCCCTCCAAGCTACCCCCTCACCATGTCCCAAATTCCCAATTGCAAGCCTATATGCACTGCGAACCGAATATGCCCCAGTTTGTTCTCCAAACCAGTAAAGTTGATCACATTCGCTCCCGGTAGAAAGAGGGATACTTTGGATGAGGCTCACATCCCGCTCACACAAAATATCTGTCAACACCCCCCGATCCCACTCCCTAGAATTCACACATAATAGAGAGCTCACCGTAGGATTCCCCAAATACTCAAGTGTCGAGGACTCAACATAAGGATTTGTGGCATCCGGAAGCCAAGGATCCCCCCATATTTTAATTGTCTCCCCATTCCCCACTCTCCACCGAACCCCCTGCCTCACGATATTTTGAGTTTCCCGGATACTGGACCAAACAAAAGAGGGATTGGATCCCTTTTTAGCCTCTAAAAAAGAACAATTTGAGAAGTATCGTGCTTTAAAGATTTTTGTCACCAAGGCGTCAGGTTTGGTAAGAAAATTCCACCCTTGTTTCCCTAGCATTGCAAGATTCATCTCCCGAACTCTACGAAACCCCATCCCCCCAAATTGGTTTGGTACACACAAATCTCTCCACTGGCTCCACCTTATTCCCTGCTCTTCTTATTCTCTCATCTCTCTTTTTTGTTGTATAGTTTAGAACGTGTATAATTATATATGTTCGCACGAGAATATGTGGATTTTCACAACATAAAATACCCTAAATAAAAAAGATAAAAAACCCTCAAAATGTATTTAAAGTTTTTTTTAAAAAATATAAACCTCAACCCGATCGTTGAAGTCTTGAAGAATGTAAACAGTGGGCCCATCATCACTAGTCACTACCAAAATTACTTTTGTCTCCGGAGTACGTAATCCTTAGATTTTGGACTATGGTTCACATTGTAGGTAAATATGTACGTATTTATTTCGTGAATTTTTATATATTGTGTTATAAAATTTTGTACTTTAAAAATATGAATTTTGTATATGAAATTAATTAATAATTATCTCTTATGTTATGAATTTTCGTGTCTTGTGTTGTGAAATTCAGTATACTGAGCACAAATTTTGTACTTTAATCATATTTGAAAAATAAGTAAATATATGACATATGTATGTGTCTTGTGTGTGTGATTTTTTGTGCATTGTATTATGAAATTCTATACCTTATTGGTATTAATTCAGTACCTCGTCATTTTAATTCAGGGTTTACAATGCTATATAAACCTTAGTCCATTATATAAATTGCCAGCAAATTATATCGTGCACTACGGTGCGTAATGGATTATGCACCGAGCTTCTAAACGACGTCGTTTTGTTTAATGAAAAAAAAGGGGCACCCGTTTCGCGCTGTTCCGCAAAAAGTAACTCTGTTATTCAGTTTTATTTTGTATACACTGCAGTTTCATTTCAACACAACTACAGTTTCATTTCGATATAACTACAGTTTTATTCGATATTTATACACTCAACTATGTGAAAATGTTATTTAAATTTATTTTATATGCACTATAGTTTCATTAAAACACAACTACATTCTCATTTCGATATAACTACAGTTTCATTGCACAATATACACTCAAATATGTGAAATGTTATTCAATTTTATTTTATATACACTGCAGTTTCATTTCAATACAACTACAAGTTCATTTCAATTTAATTGCAATTTCATTTGATAATATAAAAATAATACGTGAGTATAATTGCTGATAAATTGCCTTCTCCAGAGTAGCAATCTCTTTATTTCTCCAACCCCTTTTCCTTTTTAATCTCACCACTTTTTCCATCTTATCCCATTGGGTTGGAGATGCTCTAAGTGAGAAGTTGGAAATTGAAGCAATTGGGTTTGAGTTAATTCTATTTTTGGTTTTATATTTATAAGCGACAGTTCACTTTTAATTATTTTTTATTAGAACATCCTCATTTGGTCCCTGGTATTATTATAGCATGACTATTTTTAGTTTTTTCATAAAAAAAATCGTTTAAATATTGTTAAATATAAAGACATTTTGATCTTTTTATACAAAGTAGGTTGATCTGCTATATTTTTTATGTTTATTTTTTTGAAAAAAATTAATAATTGATGAGCGAAATATCATTTTCATTTAACGATATTTAAACTGTTTTGTTGATAAAAGATAAAAAATGATCATCCCACAATAATACTAGGACCAAAAAGTGAATGTTTTGATAAAAAAAGACTTAAAGTGAATTACTACCTATAAATCTATAAGCAAAAATAGAATTAACTCTAAATTTATCTAACAACCTCATCAAATTGTTTTAAAGAATTGAGTTTGCTCACGCGGGATCTTAATTGGTCACAAGAGTGAAGTTTGAGAAGAAAGAATTGAGTTAAAGTTTGAAAGATATGAATAATTTAATTGGAAAAAAAATACAAAGACATATATATAAATATTCCCAATTATATTATAATTGGAATATATAAGACAATAAAATTGGAAAGTTTGAATTGATGATTCAAACTCCGCCATTTCTGTATAGTTTTTCCAAGTTGGTGCCAAAACCAAATGAAATTCAAAAATTTCCCGCATTTTGAGCGGCCCTGTTCATAATAAGTTTAGAATTGTGGACTAAATTGTGAATAATAGCATCTCTTTATAAGTGAGTAGCTTCACAGCCCTTTGGGAGTCCACTCCAAGTATTACCTTACGCCACTATTCCATGCCAATGCCATCTTCAACCCTTCCATGACTCCCCTCCAATATTCAACATAAACCCCTTTCTTCATCTCTCAACGACCCCCCCCCCCCCACCCCACCCCCACCCCCACCCCACCCCCTGCAGCTTGATTTTCTCGTGGCCTGTTGAACGCTAGCATAGCTCTTCAATTTCGCCCTTCATCCCATTTCAGTTCCCGCACAACAGACCAAAGCGCCATTAATATCCACTGCCTGTTTCTGAATCCACTGTATCTTCTGGTGATTATCACGTTGCGCCTGGGAGAAAACCTACTCATTTCTCCGCTTCCAGATCCGCCACTTCATCTCCGCTGTTCCAACTCCCAAATACAGTATTGTTTCCTTCCAAGACTTGGGACGACAAGAAAAAAAGATTGATAGTAATCGGAAGATTTGGGTAGATACCGGAAATGGGATCTGCTAAACTTTTGGAAACTCCGACTTGTGATGACGCTGGTAATTTTTTTTTTCTATTTTTTTTTTCAAAAATGAACCTATCTCTGCATTTTATGAAGATGCATGTGGAATTTCTGTTTTAAATTTGTAATCCAGAAAATTTCTTACGTTTTAGGTGTTTGGTTTTTGTTTCAGCCTGAATTGTCTTGAGAAATTTGATTTTATATATTTATGCGGATGAACCTAGGGCATTGTAGATTGCATGGTGTATTTGTGGTTTGATATTGACTTATTAAAATGCAGATTTAAGTAAGATGAACTGATTTTTCTCTTGTTAGTAATGTGCGAATGCTCAATGGTGTACTGTTTCGTGCTTCTCTCTAGTGATGGTTCGGTAGGGTATAGGTTGATTCTTTTTTGAATTCACTGTAAGGGAAATTTGGTTTGAGCTAACTGTTGGGGGAAATCTTACAAGATAGAAATGAAATTTATGATGCATCTTCTATAAACTGTGGGTGTTAATTTGTCATGAATTTGAACTCAGAACTAAATATGTAATTAAGTTTTATGATATAGTTTGGCTGTGTAAGTATGCATTTTCAAGTGGCTTGGAGCCAGATGGTGCATGTGGAAGCTAGAAACAAAAGCCACTCAAACATTGTCAGAGGATGTTTTAGAACAGGTTCATGCAATACTAAATATTTAGGTATTCAGACACCATGTGATTTTCTTTAAATGACTAATTGCTTGACAAAGAAAACATGTGGGCTCAATACTCAATACACATTGTATGGTTGGACTGACCAAACTTTATTGGAACAAAATATAATCCGCAAATTTAGATTGTTAACTTTGCTACAAATACTTGACAAGATTATGTTTGTGTGAATGATTTTGATGTGCTTGCTAGCATTTAGCATATGATGTACTTCTGTTATGTTTCTTACTATACTCTGTTATTGTGAAAAGGGACTTGCTCTATATTACCTATGGGTTATCTAAAATAGAGAAATCACTGGTTTTATGGCTAGTTAAATATTGATGCTTGTGAATCTGTAAAATATTGGTGTACCTACAGGCTACAACTTATATTCTTCCAATCTTTTAAATTGGCAGTTCTCTCTTTTGGGATGTGGACCTTTTGTCTATCAAATACTTAAAAGTGCTGATAATCTGTGAATGTATATGATACTTATTTTGAGACCTGTTTTACTATGCCCTGCACTGCCATTTCAATACTCTATATACTCTTTGTGCTATATAGGATAATGATTACTTGTTTTGAAAATTTGCATTCTGTATACATATTTACTATCCACTCACTTCTTGACCGTGCCTGCCTTATTTCACCTGCAATAACTATTCAAAACATTTCCAACTTCCAGTACAACTTCATTTGGTTGCAGTTGAAATATGATGTGAATTGTGTTAACTTGATTTTCTTTTCAGCTATTACATTATATATAGCTAATAATGACCATGGACTTTTTAAAACCTTGCCTTTTTTATCCATTATTTTACTATGTATGTTTTATTTTGTCTGTATTTATCACATAGCTCTTTGTAGACTTTGCTGAGAATGAACTTTCAAATTTGATCTCATTTCTAATTTTTGTTCTTCTGTCTTAACAGGATCCAAGAAGAACCAAAACAAACAAGATTCTGTGTCTAAGAAGGTGGTAGCAACTGACTCCAAGGAAAGGAAGCGGCTCATGTCTCAGAATAGTGAGGAACAAACTGTTTCCCGCAAAATGCCAAAACGGGCTGCTGCTTGTTCTAATTTTAAAGAAAAAACTGTTAAAGTATCCAAAAAGTCTTCCATTATAGAAACAAAGAAGGATCAGTGCATTGAGGAAGAGGCTGTGGCCATTAGGTTGACAGAAGGAAAAGACAATGGTCGGCCATGTAGAAGGCTTTCAGACTTCGTATTTCATAATACGGATGGAATCCCACAATCATTTGAAATGTTGGAAGTTGATGACCTCTTTATATCTGGTCTCATTTTACCACTTGAGGATACAGATGATAAGGAAAAAGCTAAAGGAATCAGATGTGAAGGATTTGGTCGTATTGAAGAATGGGCCATCTCTGGTTATGAAGATGGATCCCCAGTTATATGGGTATCAACTGATGAAGCTGACTATGACTGTATCAAACCCTCAGGTAGTTATAAAAAGTATTATGATCATTTCCTGGCCAAGGCAACTGCTTGCATTGAGGTTTACAAAAAATTGTCAAAGTTGTCTGGTGGAAATCCTGACTCAAGTCTGGATGAGTTAATTGCTGGTGTTGTCCGTGCAATGAGCAGTATGAAGTGCTTCTCTGATGGTGTTTCCATCAGGGATTTTATTATTTCTCAGGGTGAGTTCATTTACAACCAATTAATAGGGCTGGATGACACATGCAAGAAGACTGATCAGCTATTTGTTGAGCTCCCTGTGCTTGCTGCTCTTAGAGATGAGAAAAATAAGCAAGAAAATGTTGCTCAAGCACCAAAGATAAACACTGGTGGAAGTTTAAGAATAGGACCTAAAGCAACCAATGAAGAAGACATGACAAAACAATCTGGTGCATCTTCATCTCCAGCAGAGGAAGATGAAGATCTGAAGTTGGCAAGGTTGTTACATGAAGAGGAGTGTTGGCGGTCAATGAAGCAAAAGAAAAGCCATGGTTCATCCTCTTTATCCAACAAGTTTTACATCAAGATCAATGAGGATGAAATTGCAAATGATTATCCTTTACCTGCCTATTACAAGACTTCTTATGAAGAGATAGATGAATATGTAGTCTTTGACAGTGGCGTTGATACGTGTTATATTGATGATCTGCCGCGCAGTATGCTTCACAACTGGGCATTATACAACTCTGACTCAAGGCTAATCTCATTGGAGCTCTTGCCAATGAAACCATGTGCAGATATTGATGTGTCAATCTTTGGGTCTGGTTTAATGATGTTTGATGATGGGTCTGGATACAATTTTGACTCTGATGCTGGTCATTCTTCGTCAAGTGCTTCTGGGGCAGCTGAAGTTGATGGAATTCCAATTTACTTAAGTGCAATAAAGGAATGGATGATAGAGTTTGGAGCGTCAATGGTTTTTATATCTATTCGAACTGATATGGCCTGGTATATTTCTCCTCTGTGAAATTGCATATTTATGTTTTATTGTGCTCTTAGAGTTTATTAATTTTTGACTTTGCATTATACTATTCATCTGGTATCCCATACTCTGGTCTTTGGAAATTGATAAATGGGTAATTACGTGCTGATATTGTCAACTTCTTTAGTTAGCACTTAGCATTGTTCTTTTGTCATCATAAACCTGTATTTGTGACCTATGATTTCTTGTGTTATTATATTGGTTTTTTGTCACTTGGGGCATGGGACATTGGGACTATGCTGGTTTTCTTCCCTTTTAAATAGTTAATTGGTGCATCTTGGATTCTTTCAGGTATAGGCTTGGGAAACCATCAAAACAATATGCCCCTTGGTATGAACCAGTTTTGAAAACAGCTAGGCTTGCTGTGAGTATCATCACCTTGTTGAAGGAACAGAGTAGGGTAGCAAGACTATCATTTGCAGATGTGATTAAAAAGGTTTCAGAGCTTGAAAAAAGCAATCCTGCTTATCTATCATCAAATCCAGCTGTTGTGGAAAGATATCTAGTGGTACATGGACAGATTATTTTACAGCAGTTTGCAGAATTTCCTGATGAAAACATCAGGAAGTGTGCATTTGTCATCAGTCTAACTAGGAAAATGGAAGAGAGGCACCACACTAAGTGGTTGGTTAAGAAAAAGAAGCTTTTGCATCGAAATGAACTAAACTTAAATCCCAGAGCAGGAATGGGACCTGTCATATCTAAGAGGAAGGCCATGCAAGCCACTACAACTAGACTAATTAACAGAATATGGGGGGAGTATTATTCAAACTACTCTGCAGAGGAGTCAAAGGAGGAAGTTGGTGGTGAAGTTAAGGATGATGATGAAGTTGAAGAACAAGAGGAAAATGAAGAGGATGATGCTCCGGAGGAGAATGTCGAAGTTCCTAATGAAACTCAAAAGCCTAGCACTACTACCAGACGAACTAAATCTTGCCCTAATAGCAAAGAAGTAGAATGGGATGGTGAGTCTGTAGGTAAAACTGCTTCAGGTGAACATTTGTACCGAAGGGCCAAGGTTCATGGAAATGAGATTGCAGTTGGGGGTTCGGTTCTGGTGGAGGATGACGAAGCAGATGCGCTTCCAACCATTTGCTTTGTGGAATACATGTTTGAGAAATCGAATGGCAAAAAAATGTTGCATGGGAGGATAATGCAACGAGGATCGCAAACTGTACTAGGAAATACAGCTAATGAGAGGGAAGTCTTTCTGACCCATGAATGCATGGATTTAGAACTAGAAGAAGTCAAACAAACAGTAGTTGTTGGGATGAGGTTGATGCCTTGGGGACATCAGCATAGGAAAGCTAATGCTGATGCTGATAAAGTAGATAGAGCAAAAGCAGAAGACCGGATGAAGAAAGGATTACCTGCTGAATATTACTGCAAGAGCTTATATTGGCCTGAGAGAGGTGCTTTCTTTAAGCTTCCTTATGAGACTATGGGTCTTGGCTCTGGTTTATGCCATTCTTGCCAGGTGCAGGATTCTGCTCAAGATAAAGACATTTTTAAAGTAGATGCATCTAAGACCAGTTTTATATACCAGGGATTTGAGTATTCAATTCATGACTTTGTTTATGTAAGTCCCTATCAGTTTGATTCAGAGAAGGTAGAGTGTGCAACCTTCAAGGGTGGGAGAAATGTAGGCTTGAGGGCTTATGTTGTATGTCAATTAATTGAAGTTCTCGTTCAGAAGGGACCTAAAGAAGCTGTCATGGATTCAACTCAAGTTAAAGTCAGAAGGTATTTCAGACCAGATGATATTTCTGCAGAGAAGGCATATACTTCTGATATTCGAGAGGTATTACCTCATTAAGTACTTTTGCACAAAAAAGAAAAATGTTGGTTATATCTAAGAATAAATGAATCCATTGCTCTACTGCATTTTATTATTTCAATACGTATGTGTATATCTTAATTAATGAATGCTAATTGTGATGTTTCAGATTTATTATAGTGAGGAAACACATACTATTCCTATATGCATGCTTGAGGGGAAATGTGAAGTAAGGAAGAAACAAAACCTCCCATCTGCTGATTTGCCTCTAATCTTTGACCATATTTTCTTCTGTGAATGTCTGTATGATCCGTCCAAAGGTTCAGTTAAGCAGGTACCTTTTCTTTGCTTGTTTGGCGGCATTATTTTGATTCTGTCAAAAACTCTTAGGTTTTCAGGGTATGGCTGTTTGTGATAGCTCATTCAATTTTATTTGGTTAGGGTTTGGATTGACCTGTTTTAATCAAGTCTGATTTCCACCCATTTTGTGCGCAGTTGCCATCTCATGTGAAAATAAGGTACTCACAAGTGAAGTTGGATGATGCTGATATATCCAGGAAGAGAAAGGGAAAAGGAAAAGAAGTAGAAAATGATACGAGGACTGAGCAACTCCAAGGAACTTCTCAAGAAAACCGCCTAGCTACACTAGATATCTTTGCTGGGTGTGGAGGCCTTTCTGAGGGGCTGCTTCAATCAGGCAATTTCTCCTGTTGCTACTAAAAATATTCTCACAATATCTCCCTTGGGATGTTTATCTTGATATTTTCCTTATTCCATTTTACAGGTGTCTCACATACAAAATGGGCAATTGAGTATGAAGAGCCTGCTGCAGAAGCCTTTAAACTCAACCATCCTGAGGCACAAGTGTTTGTGCACAACTGCAATGTGATTCTCAGGTCAGCTCTGTCTAGAGATATATGTATGTCTATATCAAACAAGCAGACTTGTGTGTCAGCAATGATGTGATTGTTTGTTCAATGCAGGGCAATAATGAAAAAATGTGGTGATGAAGAAGATTGTGTCTCAACCCAAGAGGCTGGGGAGCTAGCTGCATCAATGGATGATAAGGAAGTCAACAGTTTGCCACTGCCAGGACAAGTTGACTTCATCAATGGAGGGCCTCCTTGCCAGGTTTGTTGAGCCATCTTGGTCCTGGCTTGCAGGCTTGCAACATTGTAATTTTTGTTTAAATTAATAAGATGAGAGTGTCTCTCTTGTAGGGGTTTTCTGGAATGAATAGATTCAACCAGAGCACTTGGAGTAAAGTTCAGTGTGAGATGATTCTAGCATTCTTATCCTTTGCTGATTACTATAGGCCTAAGTACTTTCTCCTGGAGAATGTTAGAAATTTTGTATCTTTCAACCAAGGTCAGACATTTCGATTGACCGTGGCTTCACTGCTTGAGATGGGTTTTCAGGTAGATATTCTTCTAAAGTTGGAACCGATTCTAGTATTGCTCCATAATTTTTTCTGGTGCTGAAATCTTTTTTTGTATGTAAATGACATTTATGATCAGGTGAGGTTTGGGATCCTGGAAGCTGGAGCATATGGAGTCCCCCAGGCTAGGAAGAGAGCATTTATATGGGCTGCATCTCCTGAGGTGGCTCTTCCTGATTGGCCTGAACCTATGCATGTCTTTGGTGTCCCACAGTTGAGAATATCATTGTCAAAGGATTCACACTATGCTGCTGCTCGGAGTCCTGCTGATGGAGCACCATTCCGTTCTCTCACTGTTAGAGACACAATTGGAGATCTTCCAGCTGTTAGCAATGGGGCATCCAAACCCACTATGGAGGTAAGTGGTAACCTGGAAATGTAGCTGCTTAACATTTAAATTTGGAACAGTTGGTAGTCTTTGTTTCTTACTTGTTTGGATTTCTTTGCATTCCAACTGCGCAGTATCAAGGTGATCCAGTTTCGTGGTTCCAAAAGAAAATCCGTGGGAATGCAATGGTGTTATCTGATCACATTTCAAAAGAAATGAATGAGCTTAATATGATCAGATGTCAACGAATCCCCAAGCGTCCTGGGGCTGATTGGCGTGATCTTCCAGAAGAAAAGGTATTAACGAAACTAAACAGGGTTCTGGAATTCATGATTTTTGAGGATTAAGTTAACAGTTGAGTTTTTGATTGAAAGGTGAAATTGTCAACTGGGGAAATGGTTGATTTGATACCATGGTGCCTGCCCCATACAGCTAAGAGGCACAATCAGTGGAAGGGGCTGTTTGGAAGATTGGACTGGGATGGGAACTTTCCAACTTCCATAACTGACCCGCAACCAATGGGTAAAGTAGGAATGTGCTTTCACCCAGAGCAAGATCGGATTGTGACTGTGCGCGAATGTGCACGTTCCCAAGTAAGTCTTCTTCTGGTCTTGTGAAGCTAGCCTAGTAAAACAGTGATAAGAGTGTTTTATGTAGCGAGTGTGTTGAATTATTGCAGGGTTTCCCAGATACATATCAGTTTGCTGGTAACATTTTGCACAAGCACAGGCAAATTGGAAATGCAGTTCCTCCTCCTCTGGCTTATGCGTTGGGGAAGAAGCTTAAGGAGGCTCTTCAGGGCAAGAACACTGCTTAGCAAGCAAGCAAGCAAATATTATTATATTGCAATTGCTGGTGTTGGATTTTCTTTGCATCCAACAACTTGAGAATTTTTATGTAAATCCCTAACTAAACTACTCACAGTTTGTACTAGACAACTTTGGCTGGCAATGGTGGAAATGATGTTCTTTTTGGGTCTTGAGTGAAAATCTGTTTCACTGATGTGATATCAATCTCAATCTCAATCTCCATAAGTACAATTTTATGAATAATAAAGTAATTACATTACATTGCATGTCTTAATAGCAATTGTTATATCGTGTACCCTGCATTGTTCGCTCTCAAAATCCCATGTTTCGTATAATTTAACATAATATGTAATATACATAAACTTTTAATATAATACACATAAATTCTTAATATAATACACAAATTTTTAAAGTGCACAATGCAATGTGCACTTTGGTGCACGGTATAGTTAATAGTAATAAGTAAAAAAAGGGATATTGTTCATAGTAATAAGTAAAAAAAAAGGGAAGATTACACATCACATTGTACATTCGGGAAAAGAAAGCAAACTGATAATGCAATTTTATTGTGACCGCAAACAGCTAAGTCAGGTGTTTTTTAATTAATTATTATTTGGGGTTGGAGCGGAACAGTGGGTATGAATGAAATCCTTAACCTCCTCAATTAGCTGCTTAGATTCAGGGACCTCAGGGAAAATGTAGAAAGCATGAGCGACGTTTGGGTACTCAACCAGGTAAGCTTCTTTGCCTGAGGCCTTAAGCCAGTGGTAGTACTTCTTCTGCCAATCCTTGAGAGGATCAAAGGCCGCTACCAGCACGATCGTGGGCGGAAAATCCAGTTTGGATATGTCAACCGCGCGGGGGCCGCTGACGTTGATCACTTGGTGGTCCCTGTCCATTCCTTCCCCCGCCGGTAGAAACGATTTCCACATCCAGTCTGTGCGGGCCACTGATATTAGATGATCGAACTTTGGCAATTCCTTCTCTGCCTCCGTCCGCTCTTCTCCTCCGAAGAATGGTTGTATTGCCACTACTCCACCCACCTTCATTTTCATTTAGATTTTAAATTAAATGTTATTATAATTATATTTAATAAGTTATCATATTTAAAATTTTATTTTAATAATATTAATTATATTATAATTACTAATCAAATTATAAATTATATTTGTAATATAATATGAATTCTACAATTATTAGTTTAATTTTTTTTTTTCTTATAATTAAAATTTTAATATTGAGTATTATTATTGAATATATATTTTTGCGTATCGCACCTTAAATTGTTATTATTATTATATGTTTCAACACCAACATTTGAAAACATCAATTATCCATCCGTTCGACTCAATTTTTTTTTCTTAAAGTGGGGGCGAAAACTAAAAAGCTCGCAAACACGATTGGATGAGAACAAAACATTTTTCTTAATATATATTTAAGGGGCATTGTGAATAACAAGAATGAGTTCTGATTCCTGACGGCTTGACCTCCCAGGACAACCATACACTTTTAACCAAATTAAGAATCTAACATTTTTCTTTCCAATTATCATGTAATATGATAGCATCCCGATTATCATTTTAAATGAATAGTCATATATTTAAAAAAAATATAAAACAGATATTACTTTGTAAATAATTATGTGTATTTTTTTTTTTTTTAAAAACAATCTAAATCTGTAATGCAGTAATTTTCATATATAATAATATATTCCATATTTCTATTAAGTATATATATAAGGGTAGGGTTGGGTATGAATCAAGTTCGGGTTCGACCCGTGCCAATAAATATCATCTAAAAATTTTCTTGTGTTCTCTTTTCAAGCCTAAAAATCGAATCGAAAACTTTCGGGTATCCTTCGGGTTCAATTAGACACGAATTATGCCCATCCCTTATATAATGGGTGGGGCACATGGGGAGGGGCAATTGCCCATATTGTCACTTGAAATTTGATACTGATGGGTCAATGTATTATCTATTTATCTCTAACATATTGAAACTAACTTTATTACTCGTTAATATCTATCGACTCTTTTCTTCGTTCACATAATTCTTATCGCAAAAAACAAACATTAAAGGGAGCGTTTGGTTTAAATAAATCAAAATCAGAATTAAATAATTAATAAATAAAATGTGTTTAAGTAAAAATAATCCATTTGTTTGGTAATAAATTCAAATATTCAAAAATAAGGGAGAAAAAATGTAATGACTCTTATATAAGTATACAAAAAATGATTTGAATATGATAGTGAAATAGGAAAATATGCCAACAAACATAATAGTTAGAATCAAATTCAATAATATTACTATGTAAAAATTAAATGTGACATTCAATGCCACCAAAATACAGATACGTAATTACGTACAAGACAGATCAAGCTAACCAAAACAATTAGCAAGTCAGAGACAGTTGCTTCCTTTACCAAACTTTTCTGCCTTTTTATTATTTTCACTTTGACAATCAATTAATATTTTTATGCTTAATTTTTTTTAAAATAAAACTTAACAACCTTTTTAATTACAATTCAAAGTTAAAATAATGTTTGGAAACATCATCATGCATCAAAATGTCTACTTTATACAACAAAAAATTTAATGGAAAAAATCTACACAAATAAATTGATGAAATTTTAAAAATATAGAAATTACCATTTTGGTTCATAGAAGAGTTTAATTGACGAAATTTTAAACAATTTAAGATTACATTAGTTGAAATTGAAAATTAAATACTACATTGACCAGTGAAAAATAATTGAGAGACCAAAATAGTGATTAACTCTATACAAAATTTATATATTTAAAAACTAAGTTAAAGGATTATTAAACACAAAAATTTAAAATAAAAATATAATTTATATACCTTAAGCCGCCGGAAACTGGATTCCGATGCTCGCTTTGCCACGTGGTGGGCCAGGTTTCCTCCGGCACTATCTCCGGCTAGAAAGCAGCGAGACACGTCAGCGTTTTCTGGCAGTATCCCATTGTTGTTCTCATCATCGAGGAACCTGAGCACGTCGAATCCATCGTCGTACTGAGCAGGGTAGCGGTGCTCCGGGGCCAGCCGATAGTTAACGGAAACTACGACCGCCGGGACTTTTCGCGCAAATCGGCGGCAAACTGCATCGTACTCCTTGGTGTCGGCGCTGAGGTACACGAACCCGCCGCCGTGGAAGAAGACGATTACGGGGAGGGAAGCGGAATTCCGCGCCTCGTCGGCAGTTGGTATGAAGACACGGAACCAGAGGTTGCGGGCCGGGTCGACGGTGACGTCGGAGGACTTGACGCCGTTGACAGGGTTGCTATTGGGGGGAACAGTGATACTGAATATCTTGAGGAGACGGCGGTTCACGGTGCCATTTTGGCGGCGAGAGGCGTCGGTGACGGCGGAGACAAGGGAAAGGGATATGCGGGTCCGCCATGGAATGGAGGGCTTATGCATGATTTGAGGAGGATTTTGAAGCTCATTCTTTGTTTCCATAGCTATCGGTGGAGATTAACAAAATTCAGTCTAACAGAGTATTCTTTTCTTACAGAATATAATGTCTGATATAAATTAATAATTGGGGAAGGGGGAGGGGAGGGGTGTTAAAACTTTCATTAGTTAAAGATTTGGTAAAGCTCTCCAAAGTAATTCCTACGGAGTGGGGTAATTTTAAGTAATAGCTAATTCCCAAAATGATCTTCACTATGATATTTTCTTAAATTCATTCCTTAACTTTTAATTGTATTTAAAGTGATTCTCCGACTATTGAATTTTAAGTCAAAATGGTTATCGGTTAGCTTTGTCGTGAAGTAGGTGTTAAAATGAAGGGTTAAACGGATAATTTAAGTTTTGCACTCAAATGTATTGGAGTTGAAGATGAACTTTTTTTGTCATTCTAGTTTATTATTCCACATTTTGATCGCAAATTGAGGAGAACAAAAACCTAATTTCAAGAAAAATGTGCGTAGACTGTTGAAAGGGAGTCGCAAATTCATTAAATTGGAGTACAAAATTTGAATTACCCATTTTACCTTTCATTTTAACACCTATTTCACGCCAAAGCTAATGGATGACCATTTTGACTTAAAATTCAATAGTCGTGACCACTTTGGGTGCAATTAAAAATCAAAGAACTAATTTAAAAAAAAGACTATAGTCGGAGGACCATTTTGGGAATTAACTAACGTTTATTGCATATACTAGTATTTTTTTTTATGCGCGATGCGCAAAAAATAGGTGCCCAATATTAATACATTATATTAAAATTTTAAATATATTTAGATTTTAGATATTTAAATTATTCTAAATAATAATAATAATAATGTAAATCATTTTTATAAATTTGATATTTATATTTTATGTAATAATTAACATATAACTCAAATATATAGTGTGTATATATTATTATTAATGAAGAAGATAAGAAAATATATGGTGGATGCATGTGCATAGTAACAATAGTGGAAAAGATAACGGAAGTTATAACGGCAGGGGTATGTTTGTCCAAAATATTTTAGTGTACAACCTTTATAGCATAATGTACAAAAAAAACTTAACGGAAAAAATGGACATAAATCAGGGGTATAACTTTCATTCACATTTATTATGTTTTTAGATTAGATATGTACAATAAGATCTAATTCTTTTATTTGTTGTTTTGTTAAAGTTATTTGCTCTCATTTCGTTTGAGTTATTTCCTCTCGTGTCTTTAGCGAGTTTTCCTCACGTTTATTTGGCGAGTTCTTTTTTCATAAGGTGAAACAATTTATCTGATATTGTAGTAAAATTATATAGGGTTATTTTAGTAAAAATAATTGATTACGGTAATAAATTTAATCAAAATATATATGGTTAGTTAATAAAATCAATGATTTTAACTAAACTAATTATAAGTTTAGTTTTATAAGAATACCCTTAGTTTTGAGGGGAAAATGTCATAGGAGGATTTTAGTTTATATATATATATATATATAGATTTTGAATCCAGTGAGACCACGCCAATCAGGTGAAATCATGAGATCCCATCTAATCCATTGATAAAGTTTCAATTGATGGATAGGATTGAAAGTCAAACAACAATTAAATAAGGATAGATTTGAAAGACAAGGATGAAAGAGTAATTGTATTTTGGTTTTTAATTTTGGTTATATTTAAAATATAATCTTACCAGAATATTAGGGAACCTATCAATAGTAATATTTAATTATATTTTGTACATTTG